AGGATTTGGATAAAATGAAATAGTTTATCCTTAATTCTTAGTCCAGTCTAGTACCTACTTATCCGTAATTATTCATGTGCACCTCCGCGACCTATTCGCTCTCATATTCGTCACATGCCTTTCACTTAGTCTGCAGACTATGGTCCTACGATAGCCTTCTGCGCCAGAGCCTGGCTGAGTCATAACTTCTGTCCATTTCACGATTGCAGCCAACCACTGGCACCAGCTACTTCGTCTCTCTGCCTTTACCACAGGTGATAGTGAGCGAAGTTCTCAGGAGATCGTTACTAACAACCAGCTCTTATTGACTGGCGCGTACCAGTGGTTAGTCGCGCACGCAACGCCTTTGCTACTATTTTTCATCAACCCCTATCCTCGTAACGATCTGGTCCTGACATTGTAGTGGTTCACTATTTTCACAGTCTTAGCCGCTAGTATTTGCCGCGGCACACTGATTCTTGATTAGGTGAGCCAGTTCATTTGCTAGAGAGTGATGTTCATTCGCTGATTGGACATAGTGCTTTCCAGAGGGTGTTTAAGTAAAAATAATTCTGATCGCTGGGACGGAAGCAATGTTCGTCTGACGTGTCCAGTGCATGCAAGAACCATAAACATCGACAGTGGAGAATGGGGACATAAAGAGGGTTGCGATGAGGGAGAATAAGAAGAACAAAATCAAAACGATGACGATGATGATGGATGAAAGATTGAAATGAAATAATAAAAATGAAATTATGTGTATTTTTTAAAAAGATGTTCGAAAATTTCTGTAGTTAGTCAGTGTGATGTAAGCCAAAAGAGGATTTCCTCAGTCGGCAATATCTACGTGAATCAGTCCCACTGCGGTAGGACGTGGAGTGGTAGCCCCACTTGAAGTAAAGGAACCCCAGTCACCCCTTATGGGGCGCCGGTGGTAATAGGGGTTTACATTTGTGGAGACAGGGAATGCACAGGCGACCAGTTTAAGTAGCTGTATGCAAAAGAAAAGCTATTGGAAATGCGTGGTTGTAATTTAAATGGTTGATAAATAGTAACCCTAACTGCTAACACTCAACCTGAAACCTTACTTTAACCCCTCATCCTAAACCCCACCCGCCAATCCTGACCTTTAACTCAAACCCCTATCAATCATCTCTAACCATAACCCCTAACCCTCACCCCAACGGTATTGTGTTCATTAGGCGGGCCTCCCGAACCACCTCTTACCCCCGCTGCTACATGAACAACCAATTAGTGCCTGGAGTACAGGCCATTATCTTGCGGCATAATCCCAAGATTTTGCAGATACGAGCCACGTTAATAATGGGTTTGCGCAAATCGCTCAGTAATTTTTCGCTCAGAAGAGTCCGAATCTGGACTGTCAGGGTGTTCTCTGAGTTGCGTACTTTCACAATCCTCTTTCTTAACGATGATCAAGATCAAGGTCAAGGTCAAGGTGCGCAGCTCAATTTCAAAGATAAGTGAAGTTTTGCATTTATCTGGATATTCTTAAACAATAAATGCCTGTTTTATACTTGAGTCCCTTTTAAAAGTCACCTTTCAGTATAAGGTAAAATCTTTCCCAGTTTTGTTTGACACTCTGGCAAAATAGTCTTATTTTGTAATAAAAAGTTTGTAGTGAGTCCTTTCCCTACTTCCTCTTTCTAGTTTTCGTAGTTAAATAGCAATAGTTCTTGCTATTCAGTGCGCCTTTCCTTACGTTGGCAAAGATTTGATCCTTTTTCTGTAACGAAAAACTTATCTTGTCTGTAATGCCCCGCAGAGCACGTGCTAAGAGGCGAAAGCTTGCGGCCTCCCCACCGTCTCTGGGTGCTAAAATCGTGACTGAAGACATTGCAGGTGCCAGCGTATGTTCTTCGCCGTCTGCAGATCTGATTAACTTACAAATCCCCTTAGTACATGTAGAACGTCTTGACACTTCAGTCGTCCAAAAATACGCCTCTGCTAGTCGTAGCAGGCCATCAGCCAGTGAAATAGTCGATTAGTTGATTTATGGCGACATAAGCAGCACTTCTGAACAAGTAATTGAACAAGCTTTTAAACTTATTGGGGTAGTCAGTTCGGAAACTGAGGATAGAATTAAACGCAAGCATAATTTCGTACTGCGAAACATTCCGAGCCACTTATCTGCTATGGAGGGAGCGCATATGTTCCTACAAAGTTGTGGCTTCAGTTTCAGTGTCGCGCAAGCTAAGCGACTTCGCTTGCTTAGCCGTAATGCACCGATATTAGTTGCCCTGTTTTCCATGATATAAGTCAATTTTATCTTGTCGAGTAGGGAAATAGCTAGAGAATTCTGCCGTAAATGGCGCTGCTCCTTTTCGCCAGATCTCACACCCCTGCAGCGAAGACTGAATAAATTAAAATCGTCAAAAACCAACACCAAGATAATGACACCTACTGTCAGTCTGAATAAGTCCTCCACAACACCATCTGCGGCATCTGCACATCACGGCATAGTCAATTCCTTAGGGAATTCAAATATTTTTAATGCTGAGCTCTTTAAACACATCATCACGCCTGGTATAAACACGCCTATATCGACTCCCCCAGCAACCCGCAGTAAGCCTAAGCATGTGTCTAAGTCAAAGGCAAATCCAATTGCTGTCTCAGCCACTCGGACGCCCGATAAATCGAGCACCATTATAAAATCTTTTCCTCCACAATCGGCTAACAGTGCCACGAATACCCCGACTCAAAACGTAGCGTGTTCCCAACTGTCCCGAAGCCCTCATATCGAGGCAGTTGGGCCGAATATGCCCATTTTCCTGCCGTTTAATAAACTCTTGCTCCAATGGAAACAATGCGTCCCCACCCCCTAACTTGTTTCCTCCACAGCGGTTCTATCAATGTATTCCTCATGCTAATGTCTGTACTGAATCAGTTAACTCGTCCAATCCTCAGTTTCGTTCCGGCGGGAACGTGTTGCGGTATCTTCCCCGCGGATTCTCAGCTGAAAATAAGTTAGCTTACAATGGTTACCAGTTCACCTGCCCGTCATCCCCTCCCCCAAGTCCTACCCCTTTTAATCCACGTCAGAATTTTTCGATGCGACAAAATTTTTTGCAAAACCGGATGGCTGCATCCGGACCATCTGCTCCGTGGGCAGCCCAGAACTGGACGATGCAGGCCACCTCCCTCAGAAACTAACAGCCTTTCCCTTCAAACTTTTTGTTTTAAATGCCAGATCCTTGCTTAATAAGATGCCTTTGCTTCAGACTCAGGTTTTCGTCCATTGTCCTGATATTGTTTTAGTAACTGAGACGTGGGCATCAGCCTCAGTAGTTGGCTCCGAACTCTCGCTTCTAGGCTATTATTGCATTCGAAATGATCGCCAAGATAGCCGTGGTGGGGGCAGCTGTGTCTACGTGAAGCAAACACTT